AAATGGATGCTTCGCGCGCGTTTTGTCAATGTCACACAGAGAGTGATAAACGCAATAGAAGAAAATACAACTCTGAAGAGCACAAAAGATGGTAATATGTTTAGAGTAACACTTTTCAAAAGAAAGATATGTAGTTTTTGCTGATTGAATTGAATAAACCCGTCAAATTCTAATGGAAAGTGGCTGCTAATTTCGATACGAGTACTCAAAACAATTCTAACAGAACGGTTTCGAAAACTAAACGAATTTACAACAGAAATCGGAAGCACCTGAGCAATTGTTCTAAAAAAATTAATTCGCAATTATATTACCACAATTATTCGCCTCAGGCTCGACTTCGTCTCGGGGATTATTCAACAATATTCACCGAGCCTGAGGCCAATAACTATCAGATATAGATAAATAAATAAATAAGTGAAGTAAATAGGGATATGTTGACATTATCCACAGAGCTTGAAGATAAAATAATTTTGGTATGACTGAACAGTAATAATCAGCGATATCTCTTTGTGTCAGTTTATTTGCCTCGTTCCTCATAATCATCACAAAATCGCGTAGTGCACGACGAGTTTTACAATTTTTACTTTTAAGAATAATTTTATTCCTTTTGAGCCATCATTCAACCACCAAACAATCACAGCGCGACTCTCAACAAATAAATGACACTAACCGACTGCTTCATAGGTATAGTTTGTTGTGAAATTGTGTAGTACGGCTTCCATATCAATAACGACTTCGAGTTTAATATCCAAGCATACTTTGACTTCTACAATCAACCAACCCCCTGCTGCCTTTTTGAAAGTCAGTTCCAGATAAATCACCACAGATACGTGAATCTTCAATTCAACGCAAATCTGTAGCGAGAAAATAAAGTAAATGCCAATCACAATCAACGTTTGCATTTCGCTAGAAAATATTTTTAACAAAGAGCGAACATTAAAATCAATTAGGTTGTTATCTCCAGATAACTGTAGTGACAAAAAAAGTTGAAAATACTTTTGATATGAAAGTAAAATGCAAACTTGTTACTATTTCTTGTATTTTAAGAGGGCCAGCTGCCTTACTAACGTGCAACAAACTAAGGAGAACTTGTATTTATGTAATCATTTTTCCAACAAACAGTCAGGAATTATTTTTCAATTTGGGATTATATTCTTAAAAATTTGTCTTTTTGACAGACAAGTGAGTTGTAGATATTTTGCTTGTCAATCTGAAGGATGAAGATAAGTTAGTTTACAGACTTAACTTCTTTACGACTTTTTACAATTTGGTTGTAAAATGTCGTAAACGACCTCTTTACGACTTTTTACAATGTAAGTAAAGATAGCGTTTCGAGTCTAATTACGGATTCTTTACGCACGATCATTTACAATGCATGTAGACGTTCTTTACGAATTTGTAAAGAAGTTCGTAAAGAAACGTATAGTAGATCTTTAGGCTTTCTTTACGGTATTTTTACGGATGCGTAAATTTGAGATTTCATGCTGTGATTTCTAGAAGTCTCGCTTTGCGCTTTGTTTCATTATTATTCTAAGCCTGAGGTTATGCACAAACTAATCAACAAAATGGTGAACACTTACGATATTTGTAAGATTTTTTTTCAGGATCTGATAATTACATGATGAATTATCCTTCAAATCATCGTTCCAAGGAGAAGGGTATCGCAGAATAGCATACCTGCCGCACGCTGAAGAAATAAAAAAAAAAGTACTATTTAGTCACAAACAAAAGATATAAGTTTTGTTATATATTCTTAAAGCCAGAGGCTACAAAGTGCAGTTAAGGTGAACATGAAGAAATGCAGGTGGGCAGCGAAACCTGACGATTCTTTCATTCAAAGAAATCAAGAGAGACTGATCAGGTTCCCAAGGATCTCCAAACGTGATTGGTTTTTTCATTCCTACAGTCACCTTCCGATCGATAGTGGAGATTGTCGCGACGAAAACCAAGTATTGATCGCGTATGTAGTAGCGTCCATAGTGGTGGATATAGATTTAAACGTTTCAGCAAATTTTAAATAAAGCAGAAGCATACATTAGGATATATAACAATACATTTCAGCCCACTAAATACGCCACTTTAGCAAAATGTCCCTCAATGTCCGGCAAAGTGAGAATAGAAATGATATGGTTTAAGGTTTAAGAGTAACGAAGAGTGACTTGTACTACTTAAAACATCTAAATTTGAAAAATGGACTTCTTTTTTCCCTTTTTTCAATTTTTGCTTATTTGTTTCTTCCTCTTCTTTTTTTCTAAAGAAGGCATTTGAGAATTTACTTGTAATTGTGCTAAAAAAGAAATGATCCTTTAATTATCATTGGTACCCACTAGAGAACATTAAAATTTCCCTTTAACTTGCGTCAACGTTAAAAGATTTTTGGTTTTGTTATTGGTTATTAAATAGGATAGCTAAAATGTTGAGGGGGTATCTCTGAAGGATTAAAAAAGATAACACTTATATTGAATGTGATATGAGCAACATTTGAAAAGGGTGAGGGAAAAATGCATTTATAGAGAATTGCTAAGTTCACTTACATGATTCTACGGTTGGCTTTCCGTCTGCTGGACAATCCTCTTGTGGCAAGGTTGTGGGTTGTACGGTGGGTGAATAACAGCTACTGTTGGATACCATTTGAGTTGTTGTAGGTGTCACTGGGGTTGATATATTTGATGACGTGGTCTGCGACACTAGCGAAATGAGTAAATGCCTGAATATTTGACACTGAGATATACTATTGCCCGAAGTTGAGGTGGCTATTGGTGGATATTTACCTTGCCGCTTCGCAGCTCGGTAAATATCCACCGCTGGTTACCGACACTGAGGTAAATAGTTGTTTTAGTATGTACTAAAGCAGTGAGATAATATAACACAAAAAGAAGACTTTAACTAACCTGTAACGATTTCTTGACACGAATACTTAACTTAAGAAAACAAATTAAGGATTTTTTTTTGTCTTTTTATTTTGGAGAGGATATTCTAAATCAAGAGAATACAAACAATTTATAACATTTACATTCTCCTGTCGAACGACATACAGGTTGAGTTCCAAGTGAAAAGTGTTTTTAGGAACTGTAAGATATGA